GTGCCACTTCCTTAATGTGAGATTCTGTAGGTTTTGGTTTGGCTTTTTTTCCCACGATAGCTACTTCCACTTGGTACAAAAGTTGTGTTGCAACTGATTATTTTAAGATACTTAGAAGCATTGGGTGAGGTCAGTTGCTAGAGAAGACACTCAGAATCTTCTTCTTGGCATGTAATTTAAAACAAAAAAAGAACTTGTTTAAATTATTTGCTAGTTTAAGTCCACACATGCTAAGTGAGTGGCATGGGATCTCAAGCAGATAACTTATTTTTCTAGGGCTTTTTTGTTCACCTGTGAAAGAACTGCATTGCAATACCAAGCAATAGTAATCCAAGAAATAGAATGAAATAAAGCTAGTTTTTTTAATGTGATGTAAACCATTAGCAAAGTTGAGGGACCATGTCAGCTGCTACTACTACTCAAGTAAATTTCCATTTGCTGGCATTTGAAGAGGTAAATACTGTCATCTAAGACCCTCAAAAAGTACAGCAACAGATTATAAAAATCTTCCACTAACATATATGTATAGGTAAACCTGTGTTTGAAGTTAACTTCATTTTGTATTTTTTTTTCCTTTTGAGGTGGAAAAACAGGCAGATGGCCAAAAAGAGTACAGCAAAAGGAAGGATGCTGAGATTTTTTGACACTAGCTCTATTGTTGCTTGTGCTTTTTGTGTCAGTAATGCATATTGACGGTGTTTGCTATCCTTTACCAGTAAAAGGGTAAGCCTGTGCCTTCATTATCCAATACATAAGTGGATGCTGGATATAGATCTCACAAGATGCAGCTTTCAAAATTACAATATCTCAACACCTGAGTTTCTGGAAATCACTAGAAAACATGGCCCATATCACTTCCACAGTATTAGTTGCTAAGTTTCTTCTTTAGCTTTCACCAGCCTGTTCTTCTCATTTGGAAAAAAACAAATAAACAAAAACATCTGATACCCAACCAAAATTTAAAAAAGCTTTTGTTGGAAAATCAGTGAGTTTAAAAAGTTCTCAGATGACTTAAAAGCCTCATTTCCTTGCCACATGTTTAGGACAATCGGTACAGTTAAAAGAATACAAATCCAAGTTGCTGATGAAGCTTTGTAGGATGTCCAAATAACTGTGTGCTTCCTTCTCCAGGATTACTGGTGGCAGAAGGGGAAACAGGCTGTGAGACAGGGAGAGGCAGGAGGGAGGGAGGGAGGGAGCAGTCCTTCACAGGCTTTTCTGGAGCAGATTGGCAGGACAGACTAGCTAGCTGGCTGTCAATAGTGGCATTGTAACAGTGTGCACTTTATTGTTGTTTTATGAAAAATACTTGTGGCTATAAAAGTATATAATACAGGGGCACTATTCTAGAATAAGAGATCAGAAAGAAAAGCAGTTGGAGGAGTTTCTCAGGCTTTTGTAAATTACCCATTTTCTGGTTTCAAGATGGGTAAATAGATTGATTTTTCTCCAGTACGAGTCTCTTTTTTTTTTTCCTTTTTTTTTTAACTTCTTTTTCAGAAGGAAAAACGAACCAAAACTTGAACAAGTAAATCATTAAAGTTAGGGACATAGTTGCTTATCTGAGTGTCTTTAGAATTTTTTTTCTGCTGTCATGGTGGTCAATTATACTCAAGGCCCTAAATACTGTGTAATGGGAAGGATGTAATTCTGTAACATTTAATATTCTTCCTCAGGTAGTGAAAGATGTCTAATTTTCTGCAGGAAATTAGCTCTTCCCTTCCACACAACCACATGTAAGAAACACTTTGCTTGGACACAATACATTCCACTGCCAGCAGTTCGCCAGCAAAACACAAAGAAAATGTCTCTGTCCTTTGTGGATCCCTTCCACACTGTCCTCAGTTGGAAATCCCTTCAGAAAACTTAATTTTGCTGTATTATAGCCACAGCCACGAAATAGCAGTTCCTTAAAAATTCCCGTCGCAATGGTCCACAGTGTCTTTCCTACCGAGCAGCGTCATCACCTTCCCATCCTTCAAACAGTGCATGGGCAGGAAGACAGGCAAGGGGGTATAAGGCAGCACATAGCTTTGAAACGTGCAGTTTTTCCATGGAAAGCCTGCTTGTGTGTGATTTTCCAGTCAAAAGGCACACGGGCAGCGTAGAGGGTGTAGTGTGAGCCAATGCCGTGGGTAACGGTGTGTGATCCTGCCCTGGGATCAGTACTGCTTGTGTTGTGTGTGTGCTCGTACCTGGCAGCAAAGGGCTCACCCTCCTGTGCCTTGCAGTGGCTTCTTCACGCATCCTGATGGAAGAAAAGGACATACGTCAGGGCAGGGATCCAGGTCACTCTTTTGTACTCGGAAAATTTCCCCTTGTTTCAGTCCATGTGAGTGACAGGATCATCATCTGATTGGTGGCCTTAGGTGTGTCAAATCCAATGCAAAAGCACGTGGAGTTTCCATGAGTACATACCACACACCTACTGAGCATTCTTCTGTTTGTTAGTGGAGAAAAATACTATGCAGAGGAGGTTAAACAATTGTAACCCAAAGTAACAGAATCTGAAGAGATACTCGTTCTACTTGTTCTGTGTTCGTTCTGCACTTTTCCCAGACTGTCCCAGCCTTCTGAACAAATCCCTGTAGTCTCCACGTTTGTTCTCAGCACATGAGCGGCGTCACAGTCTGTGAGTAACCTCCACCCGAGCAACCAGAAACTGGAGAATTACAAAATGTCCGTATTTAAGTATTCTGCAGCACTTTACCTGCCTGATCACTGTTTTGTAAACATGGAACTATTATATTGATTGTTTTAATAAATATGTGTTAGTTTTTATCTTTCATCAACTCATTGTGTGTTTGCTCCCAGAAATGAAAAAGAAAACAAACCCTATAACAACAAACAGGGTGACCTTATCACTCTCTAATTACCTGAAAGGAGGTTCTAGCCGGGTGGGTTTGGCCTCTTCCCCCAGGTAACCAGTGATAGGACAAGAAGACACTCGTAAGCTGCAGCAGGAAAGGTTTAGGTTGGACATTAGGAAGAGTTCCTTCACGGAAAAGGTGGCTGGATACTGGATTGGGCTGCCCAGACAGGTGGTGGAGTTACCGTCCCAGGTAAGATTGGATGTGGCACTTAGTGCCATGGTCTAGTTGACAGGGTGGTGTTCGGCCATAGGTTGGGCTTGATGATCTAAGACATCTCTTCCAACCTAATTGATTCTGTGAAAAATCAAACAAACAGAGCAAAGACAAAACAACAAACAAAGCCCAACCCACGGAGGACAGGCCGCAGCAGCCCTGAGGCGGCGCTCCCGCCGCTCCCTGCCCCGCGCCCTCCGGCCGCCAGGGGGCGCGCGCGGGCCGCTCCCGCCGGAAGCCGCGTGGCCGCTTCCTGCCCGCGCGCCCCGCCCTGCCGGCACTTCGGCTCCGCCAGCTCTGCCAGCTCTGCCAGCTCCGCCGGCCGCAGGTGCGTGTCCCCGGCATGAGGGCCGGGATGGGACGGGAGGGGACGGGATGGGAAGGCATGACTCGGCCTGGCCTGGCTCGGCCCGGCGAGGGTAGCGGGGGGCCGTCTGCGCTCCTTTGGGCTGCAGGCTCTCGGTGAGCCCGGCCTGGTCCACGCCTGGCCTGGTGGCTCCCGGCTACCGCCTGCGCCCCGACGTATCTCTTGTTTCATTTTATTTGTACTTATTTATCTATAGGTTTGGCCCGAATTCTTGTCCGTGTATTAAACATCTGCCTTGCACCAGGATTAGGGACTCGGACTCGGTTTCAATCCAACTGGAAACAGCTAAAAATCGGCCGTAATAAAGAGCCTCAGGGGAGATCGCGATTTGTCTGGAAGGGCTTGGCTGTGCTGCGGGTTTGTGAGTGCCTGGGGTTTCGTTTTCCTGAGCCCCACACAAGGTAGGACTCGGGGCTTCGGTCCCGTGGCTTGAAACGGGAGGGGAAAATGCAGGTGGGTCATGGGAAGGTGTCGTGTAACTACGCGGGATTTCTCTGTTTTATGCAGTTTGAGTTGTAAGCACACCTGCGCCTAGTAGTCAGAGGTGGAGGTTTATGTCTTTGGTTTCTTTTAGTTACAAACCTCTTCTTCTGAGCTGCTTTCTTTTGGGTGGGGCGGAGCGGGAGGAGGTTGGGGGTTTAAAATGCCCCTGTGGTAATGTAGCGTGTAGCTGCTGTCTGTCTGTCATGGAACAGGGTGTTCTGCCCCAGGGGTCTGCAAGGGCCTGTCGCTGACAGCCAGCGTGGCTTGGCGTCAGTGCTTCATGGCAAAGGTTGGTGCTCGGGCGGGGCGAGGGGCAGGGGAACGCCTTGGGGAATACTCGAGATCTCTCAGTGGGCGGAGAATACGCTTTTCTCTGAAACACAAAATGCATGTTACACTGAGTAGATGCTTATAGTACTTTAAGTAAAATAACATGGCCTTTATTTTGTGCATCCCCCCTGTCACTGTAGCACTGCAGACAGCACAAGCAATAATAAGTAAGGAGCCCAGTGGTTCCAGGGGAATGAAATGAGCATTTCATAATGTAGCTTTGGGGAGGGGCTGCTCTTCCTTTCCCTGCTTTCAGATCCCCTCCTGCTCATGTATTATTTTTTTTTTTTCTCCAGATTAAGCCACAGTTTTTCTAAATCAATTAAAATATGAGGGTGCTTTCTGTGACCTCCAAATGACAATTTTTTTTTGCTCTTTGCTTTTGGAGCATTCAAGAAATTCCATCAACTTTGTTTAATAAAAAAAAAAAAAAAAGCTATGTTTTCTTAAACAGTGAGAAGGAAGGAAATATATGGGTTTGGAAAGGACAGCATCACTGCTCTGCAGTTGTCCTGTCCCATTCCCATTAACATGGCTCAGCTGGATGGTGGAAAAGTGGAAGGAGATCAGGGTTAGCAGTGGCTTCAAGTGCTAAATCTAGGCATGACTGACTGCATCTCCAGATGAACAGCACTGCAGGGTAAAGTGTTGTCAGCACAACTGGTATATATAGGCACTGCTCCAAAGTAGCTAAGAAGGCTTTATTTTTAAATGCAGTGATTTTTTTTTTTTTTTTTTTTTTTACCATTTAATAAGGCTGTGGAAAATAGAAAATAGGCCTGTAAGCAGACCTTTTTTTACCCTTATGTCTGAGGAGTCGCTGGTCTCATCAAAGTCTTAGAGTTGGCAGAACATGAGCTTGTTAAGAACCTTTAGTCAATGACCTTTAGTGAAAAATGTAGAGCTTTTGAAATACTGTTGCTGTAACTGGGGGCTCTCTCCTGCATCCCAATCCCAACAGGCACAGCAGGTTCCAGAGCTGGAATGCTCAGCTGTTGCTGTGGTACAAGTAAACACAAAGTCTTTTAAGTTTTCTCTCTTGCTCCTGCCCATGAATACTGCACTCATTGCTGATGCTGGTGTTTAATAAATTCAATTTTGAGCAAGAACTGTGAGTCTGATCTTTAAAGAAGGTTGTCAGGATGTTGTGTTGGGGCTTTTTTTTGTCTGTAACTTAATTTTTTTAGCATGATTTTATTTTTTCCCATTTTCTAGTAATGGCCACCTACACTTGCATCACTTGCCGTGTGGCTTTCAAGGACGGTGACATTCAGCGAGCCCATTACAAAACTGACTGGCACAGGTACAACCTGAAGCGTAAAGTTGCTGACATGCCTCCTGTCACTGCTGAGAATTTCCAAGAGCGAGTTCTGGCACAGAGAGCAGTAGCAGAGGAGCAGAACAAAATCACTGCCACTTACTGCACAGTGTGCAGCAAGAGGTTCTCCACCTTCAATGCCTATGAGAATCACCTGAAGTCCAAGAAGCACCTGGAGCTGGAGAAGAAAGCTGTCCAAGCTGTCAGCAAGAAGGTGAAAATATTAAATGAGAAGAATCTGGAAAAGGGACTAGCCCCAGAGAGTGTAAATAAAGATGAAATGAACACAGCTATTCAGCAAGCCATCAAAGCCCAGCCATCTTCATCTCCTAAGAAGACACCTCTACCTCCTAGTAATGTGAGTGGCTCTCCAGTTTCCAGGGAAAGCACCAGCTTGTCCCACAGCAGAGAACGACCAGAAATACCTCCACGGCTGCAGTGGTTTGAACAGCAAGCAAGGAAGCTGGCCAAGCAAGAAGCAGGGGAAGAAGAGGGTAATGAAGAAGGTAAGGCAGTAAACACACTGACAGAGAACAGCTTGGGATAAGCTATGGTTTGAGCAAAAGCTTCCTCTTATTTCTGTAGCAGTGCAGCATTTTCCATCGCAGAAGGTCTTGCTGTCGATTTTCAGTTTAACAAAGGAGTTAAGGTTGGTCCCTGTTTGCAGTCAAGGACTCTGTTAGTGTCTGAACTGCCAACTGTTCAACTTAACAGACAGACAGTAATGTAGTAAAGATTGAATATAGTCACTAGTATGAGCACTGCTTCTTTTCCCACATAAAAAGTCAAAGAAAGTTTCATTTAAAGAAGGCTAATGTAACAGGTTACCCTAAAACTGCTTCTGAAAAATAAATGAACAAAAATTCAGGTGTGATCATTTGCTATTGTCCCAACTCATTTTCTGTTCTGTTGAAGGGAGGTGGGACTGTGGTTGATTTTGTTTCCTTCTGCCCACCAAGACCAGAGGAGAAAGTTTACTCTTTAACCTGTGTGGCATCACTCCTTGGCATGTTGATGTCTGTGTTAAAATGTGTTAAAGAGTTGTTACCCCAGTGGCCTGTTGCTGTGAATACAGCTGTGTTGGAGTTCAGCCTGGAAAGCAGACAACTGAAAAGATCAGAGCTTCAGAATTTCCAGAAAAGGGTTATTTTTAACCTGGATGCTTTCAGTGCTGTATTTGACAGTGCAGCTCCAAACACATCTATTGGAGCAGTTGAGTGGGGTGATTGAGCTGTAGCAAGGGGACGGGTGTGAATGAGGTGGAACTTCATTCCAGCTTCTAAAACCCATGTCACATTACTGTATCTGTTACAGCAGTTTTGTGCTCTTGAAATTTAATTTGCAGTTCAGTGAATCTGTTCTACAGGAGAAGAAACATTTACCTCTGAACACACATTGTAACACCTAAAGAAGAAGCCAGCTTTCACCTGTCTAGTATTAATGTGTTAGTCATAAATTGTATTGCGAAAATACTCAGTAGGTCTCTGAATGTTAATTGTTCTTTTAAGTGTGTGAACAAGAGTGTGTTTTCCCTCACTGCTGGAAACGAGTATTTTCCTGATGTTACCAGAGTTGTTTTCAGTGAGCCGTACTTGTGTTCTTGTGTTGTGGTGAATTAAATTTAAGGCCTAGAAACAGCAGTAAAGTGTTAATAGTTGAGAAAATGGTGGGGGGAAAGTAATCTGCCAATTTTTTTATGAGCAACCTTGTGGTTTGCTGTACATCTTAAAAATAAATGTCTTTCAGTGGCAATGGTAAATTCTTGCATCTGGAAGTGACTGTGTGGCACTTAGCTGTAAGAACAAAAATGCAGTATGTTCTAGATGGCTTTTTCTAACTTATTTGGGACTTACTTTGCTTGGGAAAAGTATAAAATAAATATCTTTTTTTAAAACTTCCTTTAAAAGACTGGGAAGATATGGATTCTGAAGAAGACATTGGCTCCGATGAAGAGATGGAAAGTGTGGAAGAAGAGGAAGACGAGCAACAGGCAGAGGCTGAAAGCATTCCTGCTGTTGGGGCCATACCAGTCACAGACTGCTTGTTCTGTCCCCATCACTCTAGATCTCTCACAAAAAATGTGGCGCATATGACAAAAATCCACAGCTTCTTTATTCCAGACATAGAGTACCTTGTGGATCTCAGAGGACTAATCAAGTATCTTGGTATGCCTGAATGTTCTCTCATTTTTTGTCAGGATAATTATATTCTGGTAGTGCTTATTTTCATTTGGATATGACACCAAATGTTTTGGTTTGTGTTGCTTTTTCTCTGCCTGAGTGCTGTCAGTATTTTGATCATGAGCAGGACTACAGGCTTTCCAGGGAAAAGGTGAGAAAATTTGGATGAGCAAACATGGTCATGTACCCTGTAGGTCTCACATAGTTTTCTGATGTTCAGATAATGTGAAATTTGGGGAAACATTCTGTTGCTGAAGCATGCATATGAACTTTGTTGTCCTGCCTGTGAGTCACAAGTATTTGTCTCTTTGGTTTGCAATGCTTGTGAGAGAGCTAAAAGCTAGGAAAAAATGTATCATCCTTCAAGTTTAAAAATTATGATGAGAATAAAATAATTTTGGAGTATTGGATAGAAAAAGATATTGGAAGAAATTTGTTATTAAGACTACTGAATGACCCATACCTTGTCACAAGAAGTCTTTTAATGGCCAGACTTGTCCCTGATGGGGTCATGGCATAGGATTAGCAGGGCTATCCTGGAAATTAAGGGCTCAAGGCTCCTCTTCAGTCTCTCTGCCTGCAAGCTGGGAAGGCTGTGTCACAGAAATGTTAATTACTGGCTGGGGAGATTTTGTTCAGACTAATAGAAGTGCCAATGTTTCCTGCAGGAGAAAAAGTTGGCGTTGGGAAAATCTGCATCTGGTGCAATGAAAAGGGGAAATCCTTCTACTCTACGGAAGCAGTCCAGGCTCATATGAATGATAAAAGCCACTGCAAACTCTTCACAGATGGAGATGCTGCCCTGGAATTTGCAGATTTCTATGATTTTAGGTGAGGTCATTTTTCTTTGAGTGGGACACAGACAAAAGGATAGTTAAATATCACATTATAAACTATTATTCATTCTTTAAATTTAGTGGTGTTTCAGGTTCTAGTATTTATTTTGCATTGCTGGTTCCCTACTTTTTTGGGTAATGGTAACAGCAAGATTGGTTGTCTTCTTCTGTAACCATTAGTACTAGTCCTACATTTTGAATTCTGTTTTGTATGTGTGCTGTTACTGAATTGAGATTTCAGTGTACCAGCAAAGGCCATAAAAGGTCATAACTGTCTTTCCCATTACCTTTTAAACAGATTGTAGACTTAACACCTACTGTGGGTTTCTTATGTAAGTTTTGCTGTGTAGCTGAACAGAACTGCTGTGATGTAGAGGCCTCTTTTTGAACTTCCTGCAATTTATGCTAAACTCTGTTCATTTTGGTCAGAAATACCTCATACTATGGTGACAGGTGGAGCTCCTGGGAGCACACATTCAGTTAGCTGTGCAGAGCTGGTGACCTGCACCCTAGTGGCTTTTCACCATAAGTCACTATTAAGCACATCTGTGCCGAGTTGCACAACAGGATGGAGGAAAGAGATTCCTTTCCTCCAGGCTTTGTTCAGGGCAGGGTTCTGCTGTTAGGAACTCCCAGACCAAGGCAGGTGGAACATGACAGTGTTTGTGCTTTGCTGCAGCTGTGCATGGTGGATCTTTTGTAGAGTGGGTCTGTGGTTGCTTACTATGTTTAAAGCATGTATTGCTGCTCTTCCACAGGAGCAGTTACCCTGATCATGAGGATGGGAAAGATGTGGAGAGTCCTGGAAAGCGCCTGGCAGAGAAAGAGTTGGATTATGATGATGACACCATGGAACTTATCCTTCCATCAGGTGGGCACAGGGCTTCTGTTACAGCTTACTTTCTCTGCACTTCCCATATCTACCTCCAGTACTTGCAGCACAGGCCACTGTTGTGCTTTCCTCTGGGAAGGGAGAAGATACTTGTGCATTTAAGTGTCTTTGGGGTTATGTCTTCACCTTCCATTATTTTCACTGCCAAGTAGTTCAGCTTCTTCAGCATTGATGGATATGTGGACTGGGGCTGTGGGTTGCTTTTCCCATTTTACATCTTCATTATCATGTCACTCTCATATACTCCAACAAGAGTCCTCATAGTTGTTTGAGTGTAACTTGGAGAGGCTATAATTTAGGTTATCTAGTGTTAGGGTTTTTTGTAGCAAGACAGCTCTTATCTAATTCAGTAAACTAGTTCAGTAAATTAAATTATTAAATAGCATTTAGTTTAGCATTTGGCACGCTCACTTGCTTTTTTTTTTTGTTTGGTGGTTTGGTATGAAGGGACCTTAGGCTTTCATTCTGAAAAGTGCTGCTAACTCTGCAGTTACACAAATTTTCCTGAATGTCAGCAAGTGGCTTCACTAATGTTTTTACTTGAAACAACATTGCCTCTCTACATTCCACATACTGTCTTTTCATTCCACTAATGAAAATTTTCTTTTCTGATAACTGCCTGTTTATTATCTGAGCTAAGGCCCTCTTGAAAATCCTAAAATTTTTAAGGTTCTGGACTCTTTAAAAACATTTCTCAGCAGAGAGATTTTCCATAGTTTTCACAGTGTGCTTGAGTACTCCATTTCAGAAGCTGTTTCATGATGGATAGTAAGATGTCCCCTCCTATGAACAGGTGCCAGAGTGGGTCACCGTTCCTTGATGAGGTACTACAAGCAGCGTTTTGGTGTGACAAGAGCTGTGGCTGTTGCGAAGAACAAGAAAGCTGTGGGCCGGGTGCTGCAGCAGTACCGAGCCTTGGGCTGGACAGGGCAGGCAGGTGAGTGACAATGGGAGGGCTTTGCAGAGGAGAAGGCTCTGGGATGTCTGCACTCTCCAATTCCAGAGGTCAACTTTGCTTTACACATCATGGGGTCTATGCAGTAGTTTCTTCCACTCAGTTCATTTTAATTCCTGACAGAATTAAGATACAGGAAATTTGTTTCTAAAATCCAGTGCAGCTTCTGTGCAAGCTTTTTCATTCCATTGTTTGTGATACTTGCTTGGTTTCTGCCCTGTCTAAGCCAATACTCTTGGTATTTAAGTCATGCTTTGACAGAATGCTTTTCCAGTTGGAGAACAGTGTTGTATCCACTTTTGAAATATAAGAATCACACTTGGAATGCAAAACAACCTTTAGCCTTAATCACAGTCATGGGTATTTGTAGAGGGAACTGGGCTTTCTCCAGAGAAAAGTGGAAAGAAGAGTGCTAGTATGGGAAGGAAAACACCTGTAGGCAACTGCTGAAGTACGTGGTCAGGTCAATTGGTTGGCATACAAATTTTGAGTAAGGTGACAGACATTGATCCATCTCTTTTCCTTCTTTCTCCCTGCAGGGGCCATCTCCACTCAGCAGCGTGACATGCAGTACCTGCAGAGGATGAAGTCAAAGTGGATGCTCAAGACAGGAATGAGTAACAATGCTACAAAGCAGATGCATTTCCGGATGCAAGTCAGATTCTGAGTTCCAAAGAGAGCTGCCTACAATTGGTTATGGGAAGGGGAATTTAATGGTGTCGGATTCTCTTATTAAAATGGACTTGGTACCTATCAAATGCTGATGTGTTTGCTGGTGTGACTTCCTCTGTAAAAAGAAGGTCAAGGAACTTGTTGCAGCAGCCCTCTCCTTAGAAGGTAGAAATGAGCCAAGACACAGTTTTGTCGTTTATCACAGTATGAAAAGGGTCCTGGTTTATTCCACTTTACAATTCTGTTATTCTGCGTCCAGCCATTCACTGACTCTGGCTGCAGCAAGCACCTACTGTAGCTTTCCCTTTCAGACTGACTGCTGGTTATTTCCTGCTAGGCTGTGACTGCACGTATTTGTTTGCAGACTCTGAATGAAAGCTTTTACCTAGTTAGATTATGAGTGCAGGTTCCAACAACAGGCTCTAACTGCAGACCCAGACTGACCTCACAGCAGTGATTCTCCTGTTCTGCACTGTCCTCCTGGATTGTGCCTTCAGAATTGTGCCTCTTCCTCTACATCTTCCCATCCACCCCTGACTAGCCAACCCACCCCTTTTAGCTTTATTGGATATAGCTGTGACTCATCAGGGGTGAGGCTGTATTGCGTAATTAACACAGCTGTTACTTACCAGGGGTGAGGTCACCTGTAATCCCTTCTACACTTACCTCTTCTGAAATAATGGTGGGTCTAATTTAAAAATAAAATATCTTCAGTGGAACATGTGGCAAAGTAGTCATGACTGATGGTACGTGTATAGTCTTGCTGCCTGTCTTTGTGCAGCCCATTTCTGGGGGGCAGTTGACACTGTCATTTGTCTGAATATCCTAAGTTTCCAATTCTGCTAACTGGTTGAAGCCAAGAGGAGATCCTAGATCTAAATGCTTCAGATGGAGTGTATTAGATGTTTTCTGTTGTAGTGCTAGGCATATTAGCTGGGTGTTTTGGAGTTCTAGCTGGCACTGTTGGGGTGAAAATTTGAGAGCAAAGTTTCATGGAAGGCAAAGTAATAATTGTTAGAAGAAATGCACTGATGGAAAACATAACTCCAGGATTAATACTATCCTCAGAAGCCGACTGTACCTGCCTAATGCTCCAGCTCAGGGCTGGATTAATAATCTGCAGTGTAGTTGTTCTACATTGAATGTAATGAATTTTTACTTCCTGAAAACTGCTCAAAATTATCCATTTAGATGAATGCCAATCAAAATTTTGCTTTTCCTGCTTAAAACTCTGAAGATACTGTGGATCACAGTGTTTGTTGTTCCCACTCAGTACTGGTGTTTGGTTGTTATCATGCCATGACCCAAGACATGTATTGGCTGGAACAGTCAGGCTCTCCCACTTAAGCAGGTGAACTGTTGCAGGCTGGTGCAGAGAAAATCTGCATGTTAAAGAGCTGTGGCAGCAGCGCTGTGTTGGTCCTGCTGGTGTAGATGTCAAACATTTCCATGACTTTGCAGTTCTGACCTTCTGTAAGGAGGCAGGCAACTCCAGAGACATGGGCTCCTGACACCCTGAATTGTAGTGTGCTGGATACCAAGCATGTGCCACATAAACATGGCTGTTTCCTTGCCTGTCAGTTCATTGGGAAGGCAGCTTGCTACAGCCGGGTTTCACTTCTGCATTTAGGATTGCTCTGGATTCTGAGTGGTGTGTGTAGGTTTTATCACTGAGAATAGTAGTGAGAGACTTTGTCTGTTAACATTGTATTTTGACTTAAAGTTGTTCTCCAGTCTCCCAAAGAGGTAAGTTCAGAAGAAGCAGCACTACTGTTGAGTCAGTGCTTCTGAGAGAGCAGTGTATTTATGGGACTCTTAGGAAAGTGATCATTTCATAGTGGAAGTGCACGCCATGTGAGGGGTTTTGTTTTGTGGATTTGTGCTGTTTTGCTCATTAGTGGTTTTTTTGTTTCTTTAGTGGAAGTTCTACTGCCTTGGAAGTTTTTTTGCTGTTCCTGCATTTTCTGAGAACAGAGTTTGAGCTGTAATGGAGGCTACAGATTTGGCAGAGCATTTAGTAAGTAAACAGGCTCATAGATTTTAAAAAGGTGATTTGAGTGAAGTGAAAAGTGAAGCAGAGAGAATTTTCAAGAAAGGCTGTGTTCACATCCAAAACCTTAAACTAAAGTTGGATTGATTAATGAGTACCTCCTTCTCCCTGACAGGGTAGAGTTACTGCCATTGTATATCCCTAGCTGGATCTGGTGCGCATTTGAATTTACTGTAGGAGGTTCATGTGGGTTATTCATTCTCAGTATTAGAAGTAAGAGACCTGGTCTCAGCTATGTGACTCAAGCTATGTGAATCTTCAGACGCCATATCCCTTATTACAGTCATGACCTGGCCCAGCCTGTGATTATGGTATGGATTTCTAGCATTGAGGATACATGACAAATACAATACCCTGCTTGTATTTGTCAAATCCCACCATCTGGCCACTGGGAGCTGCTCAGGTTGTTTTCTTTGGAGAATTACTATCAAAGCATCTTATATTTATGGGTAAGTTAGACTGTCTTTACACATAGGGCAAAATGAAATGCCACAAAAATACAGAAATAGAGTGGTTAAGACTTGCTAACCTGAATATTGAAACCTGCAGAACTGGCTTTGAATACCAGAATAAGTCACCAGTGAGAATCAGAGCAGTACGCAGTCCTGAGCTTTTGGAAAACACTCATGGAATATTCAAAACTTACATTAAGGACTAAAGAATTATTTTGGAAGAATCTTGGGAATAACCTAGTACAAAATCTTAGTGGTTAAGTGTTTAAGGAGTCTTGGCAGTGAAGGCAGAAGTACAAGGAGATAATTGATCCACTGACAAATTACTTTGTGGTCATAAGGTTCAGGCTGAAGGTAGGGGGAGTTTGCCACTCTCCTCAACATGAAATAGAACCAAAGGCATCTCCTGTTCTTTGTGCAAACTAGCTCAAAGAAGCCTGCTGTTTATGAAGAGATGGGGATTGCTTGGATTCCCTGAACAGTCAGTTCAGAAAAAATGCTGGTAAGTAAACATGAAAATTGGTAGTCATTTTGCAGGTCACAGGGAAGCAGAAGGAAGTAATTAGTATAATTTGCACGTGTGATTCTGTCCTATACATCTTGCTGCAGTTTAGTCAGAAGAAAATAGAAGTGAGGTATGGGAGCCTACTGGTATTTTACAGGAAGAGTTGCAATAGTCAGGTGAAAATGGCTGCCTCGGAGAACCAGCAGAGGGCGTAGGAAAGCTTTTCCCAGAATTGTATTTACTATGAAAATAAAGCCTAGTAAGAGTGCATTCATGCAGAACAGAGGTAGGGTGAGACTGCAAACCTCACCACTACCATGACTCAAGATTAGCACCAGGCTTCTGCCTGATGAATTGCTATTAATATCTTTATGTAAGTCCTGGGAGAGCATTGCTTGCACAGGGTGGTTGGATCCCCAAATATATGGGGATTGTCAGCAGAGTTCAGCGACAGTGCTACAGTCTGCACGGCTCGTACGTAATTCCAGCTATGTCAAAGTATTTGAGAGTACTTTTGTTAAATACACTTCTCAGTGTTTAGTCTTTTACCTCCCTGTACAGAGGATAGCTGAGGGCTATTTTTTTGTTTCCTAAGAGAATTCCAAATTACATTTGTTCCAATCAGGGACCTGTGTTTCCAGCTGTGATCCAGTCTTGCACTTGTGCTTCTCTGCTCTAACCTTGTGTTTTCTGACTCTTACAGTGGGTAGATTTGAGGCTGTTTCTGGGTACAGTGGGTACTCTGGAGCAAGATTTTCCTCGTATGAGTAATTCAGTGGGCATGCTGTTCCTATAGCAGATCATCTGTTCTCAATGTGCATTCATTGTAGGAAAGCTTGGTATGAAGCTTAGAAAAGGTGCCTCATTTTGAGCAAGGTTGGGGTTCTGCCTGCCTGTCCATCCATTAACAGCTGGGTATTGAAGTGATCCCTGTGCTGTACCGGGCACTGCAAAATGAAGGAGCAGAATGAAAGAACTGGTGAAGCTGGTGGAGCACATCTGTACATCTGACATCTCCTTTCAGAAGTAGTTCCTCTGCTGTGTACACTTTAGTTACCTAAAAACAACCTAAATTCTTCTAGAGGGAAAAGCATGTACCTTTCTTCTGGAAGGAAGGGGCTAGGAATGAGAGAGAAGCATATGGATGTAGTGTGGCAGAGACACAGGAGACTCAGAAATGTAAAACAACAGCTAATTTTGCTGAAGCTGCTAGTCAACAAGTATTTAAAGTAAGCAGCCCCTTTAAGAGTCCACTATTGACCCTGATTGGTTTCATCAAGGCAAAGGGCCTGACACGTGAAGATGTTGCCCAGCTAACAGCTGATACTGGAGGGGCGTCTCAGGGAGATTCTCCACTGCAGCTCTTAAGAGTTTCTTTTGATATATTAAAACTGAGGCATCCTGTTCTAATGGGCTTCATCTGCTCAGGGCTTTGGGCATCTTCCTCCACACTATCAGCTCAGTGCTGCTGGTGGGACACTACCCTGCAGGGACTTGAGTGGGTTTATACTATCATGGATGGAAGGTTATAAATAAGCTTTAGGACACATCTGACTGAAAAGTAAAAATACATCTTAAACTCCTTGAGTCTTAATGTTTAATTGCTTTAATCCAACAGTCTAGCATGCTGCAGTTGCAGAATAGCAGTCACCAGACTATCATCAAATCCTCAGCAGCTGGCACAGCCTGGATATTTAAAATGACCATCTAAAGGCACTTCTGACCCAAAGGAAATTTCTGTTGTCTCCCACCACATCCCAAACTGTGTAAGATACAGCAGCCAGACACTTCAGGAGCCACAGAAGTGGTGACAGAACACCTGTAACTGGTTTTGTGTCAAGGATTTCTGCACATCTAGTGTACCAGACTAAAAGGCAGAGTGATAAATCCTAGCTGGGCCAGGAAGGGAATCGGAATCACTCTGAAAGTACTTCCCAGTGTAAAGTTACATGACTGTTACCAAAGGCAAAAAGCAATCCATAAGCAGGTTTTTTTAAATAATGACATTACCAAGCACGTACGTCTTTGTGCAGTTCTCTGATGCAAGGAAAAGGGTCATTTAACATTGTGACATATTTT